AAGAGAGCGAAAGAAAGAGAGAGAGAAGAGCGAACGACTCGGAGAGGGAGTGAGAGTGAGAGAGACTGAAAGAAAGAGAGAAAATAAGCTAAGAACGATACAGAGAAGGAGGCAACTGATTGTCTGGACATTTGTGCATACAGATGTATACGGATGGGGGTATGTGCATGTGTACATATATATATATATGTGCACACATGTACGCCTGCATCCGTATCCCTAGGATTGCCTGAAGCCTACAGGAGCTGCGGGATGTACAGTGGTGGCTTCGTACAGCCTATGAAGGCTGCGACAAAACCTGCGAGCGGAGCTTTAAAGTGCCAGCACTCCGTGCATTCCATCAATGAAGAGTTGCCGAGATCCGAAACTCTGATCCCTCATCCCTGAATGCCAAACACTGAACTACTCTGAATCCTGAACCACCATAAGCCTACCAATCAANNCCCCCCCCCCCCAAAAAAAAAATACCTATTAAGCACCAAAATCTTAGACCCGAGAGCTAACCAGCAAACAAACAAAACTCCCTAAAAATTAACCCTCATCCTAAACCCTAAGTCCTAACCCTAATCCTAAACCGGACCAAACAGCTCCAACATAAAAAAGAATAACTGCGCCTCTTCTCGAGTTCACGCCTCTCTCGGTGGGTCTCGGCAGCTATCTGCCGGACCAGCCACTGCTCGTCACAGGTCGCACGGCCCTGCGCAAGGGGGTCTTAGCACCTTTAGAGACCCCTTAAAGGGTTCCTGCAAGGGCTATTCTATAGGTTTTGTAGTTTCAGCACCTTTAGAGACCCCTTAAAGGGTTCCTGCAAGGGCTCTTCTATAGATTTTCCGGTCCGGTTGACGTTCCCGGTTTGGTCAGCCCCCGCCTGCCGCCGGCTCACAACTAGCAAAAAAGAAGGAAGGGCGTTGGCCAGATACGGATGGGTGTTTTAGGGTTCATCATGTCTTTGACCGCGTTAAGCTTAGGGCTTTATGGCTTTGAGTCTAGAGGCCTTGTGAGCTAGTGTAAGGTTCAGGGCTTTAGTCATAATATAGTTGTTCCAATAGCATCGCATCGTCTCTACCGCACCCTACCGAAATCCCCTTACACGCCGGCACATATACGCGTATGCCCCATACACCCCTGCACCCCCATATGCCCGGACCGCTGGCCCCAACAGTCACCGTTGTAGCAGACACATCTGCGCTTGCTCTCCTCGCATGAGCCGCAGCCTGTCACCGAAGTCGACCATCCGAAACCCTGATGGACGCCTACCCCAAAAAACCAAGGAGTTATAAAGGTTCCTTCAAGGACACCCTTCGCGCTCTATAAGACCCTAAAAAACCCTAGGCGTGTCATTGGGGATCCGAAGCTCCGGACCCGAAGCCCTTAGACCCTAAACCCCAAAACCCTTAAAGGGACCCCCAAACCCTAATATAGGTGCCTTATATTGGTTTTGATTAGAATAGGTTTTTTGGGGCCCATTTTGAAATACTTATAGTAAGGAACCCCCCCAAAATAATAGTGGTAACTATTTAGGCCCCTACATTAAACCCAGGCAGTCCCCAATTGCCCGATGCCTCCGCCGTACTGATCCGATTGCGGAGCTCCTGGGCTTTTGGAGCTTCCAGGCTTCATCTTAATTAAAGGAAACTACAGGTGGGGAGTTTCGGGTATATAGGGCTTCTATAAGGTATATAGGCCTGCTGTAAGGCCCCTATAACGGTAGCTACCCACCTGAAAATGTCCTAGATTAAGCTTCGATGGCCCTTGTAACTTGACGGCTCCATGTACCTGTACAATAGGGGCCTTAATAATTAGAGTAGGGTGCTTGGGTGATCGATTCGAGTCTTAGGGTTCTTGAGGTTCGGGGTGATAAATGGCTTCCAGCTGCAATTTAGTTGCCGAAGAGTATCTAATGATAAACCCTAAACCCTAAACCCATCTAATGTCTACCAACATCAGAGCAGGCTGATATTGAAACCTTGGCGGTTCATAACTTCTGGAGCTTCGGCGCGATGCTCCAGGCTTCAGGTGCAGCATCCCTCTCCAGAGCGATGTACGCGTGAAGAGATCTTGGGAACACCACACGGCCACACATCACCGTACATACCCTAACGAATTGACCCCCCAAATCCTATACCCCGAACTCCCAACCCTCAAAAAATCGAGTATATTGGCCCGTCATTAACACCACACTTTTCAAAACAAGAGTCCTCGGCAGTGCGCCGCAGCGATGTCGCCTGCGACGCGCGCTGCGTTGCCCGGGCGGCTGCTGCAGCTTCTGCAGCCTTCGAGGTGGGCTGTAATGGCTTTGACCTGGGGTTTCGTGGACTCTTGTAGGGGCGTCTATCGGGTGTTATGAGTGTCTTACTGGGTCGTGTGTGGGCTTTTGTTGTCTTAATAAGCGGTCTAATTGAATCACTTCCCCCATTTGTTAAATACCCCGCCCAATGATAAGAGAAACAACGCATTCCCTCTGTCAGGTTCTCGCATCAACATCCTGCTTCGATTCGCAAGAATGACGGGTCGTTTTAGGCTGGCCGAGGTAAACTCACGCGCCGAACGAAGCACGGTCACGTCAGAAGTTCAGTGTCTCTGCTTGCTAGTGAAACCCTGACCCCTAAACCCTGAACCCCTAAACCCTATACCCTAAGCCCAAACTCAACCCTAAACCCTGCCTCGTGCCGTTTCTGCGTGGCCGCACGCAGCCCGTCGACTGTCTGCCTTGCCTGGCCGGCTGGCTTTGGGGTTTGGCCGCCCTAAGGGTCCATGTGCTCATAT